TTATAATTATTGGTTTTTATTTAAAAAAAACTTTTTTTGAGGTTAATTAGAAAAAAATTTTGATAAGTAAAAAATAATAACCGCCATTACTTTTGGTTAGGACTGTAAGATGATAGCGATCTAATAATAAGAAGAGAAGGATCCTAGGGTATAGTAACAAAAGGAATATCAAAATTTTGTAAAATAACCTAAAATTTATTGATATAATTATACTAATTGTCTGAAACTGTAAAAAAATGAAACGTAATCTTGATAAATTTTTTAAATTTGTAAATAAATTTTACATTCTTGTAAAGCTTTGATAAAAGTAGTATCGTTTAATTGATATTGTCCTCTTGTGTTATGTGATAGTATAAATTTGTCAGCCACTTTGATAATATATTTTTGAAGAAGTTTCCAAAAAGGTTCAATTTTATTTGGTTAAAAGAGACATTTTTATTTAACAATCTTAAGAGATAGGCATTTGTTAATGTATCTGTCTTAACCCCAAATTGTTTTCATTTTTCATCAGTCATCTTATTATAATCAAATACTTTTTTCAGGAGAATATTTCTTTTATTATGTTTGATGTTCAGGAAATTTTCAATTTTTAAAACAACTATCGAATGGTTAAATAGCTATGTAGTAACAATAATCGTCTTGTAGTTTAATAAATGAAATGCTGAGTTGGTGAAGATCTAAATATAATTAATACAAACTTTGTATAAAAACTTAATTAATGACCTTTAAAATTTCAAATGAAAAGAAGAAAAAGATAAAAAATTATATCATTCATACTGATATATCTTTTTCACTTTGTAACCTGTCTATTTAAAATTATGCAATTTAAGTGATTATGAACTTTTAATTTTACAAAATTATCTTCAAGGATATGGATTAACTGACTGTATTTATAATAATTCTAGACATATACCAAGATGAAATTTTAAAGTTATTAATTTTAATATAGCATTCTCTATTAAAGAATATTTGATATAATATGAAACTGTTTATGGTTTACCATTTTCTATGAGACATAATAATGATTCTGAAAACTTTATATATCTTCTAACTGGTGAAAATTATACTTTAATTTATAAGAAATATAAAGAATATTTTTACCTTGAATACAATTAAGATGATGATATCATTTCTAATTTTACATTTTGTAGATTTTAGCATGAATTAATACCTACTCTTAAATTTCAATTTCCTACATCTGATCTTTGTGAAATATGTGAAAAATTCTCTATTTATTTTAAAATAACCTATGCTATTCTTTTATTTAATATTTGTATAACTGAAAGTGAAAAAAATAGATAAATAAATTTTGTTATTGTGAAAGATGAATTTTTTAAAGGTGTAATAAAAGGGATTAATACAACATTGAATTTGGTTTATCAATCAATTAAAACATTTGCTAAAGGTGAAAAAAAAAGGTTTACATATTACATGAGATAATTATATGCATAAAATAAAACAATTTATTGCTTTTTTTAGTTTTAGTTATATATATTAGGCTGGTATAATATATTACAGTTAACTTTATAATACCAGTACATACCAAATTTATTTGTGATTCATTATTTGAAAAATCAAAAAAACTTATCAAAATCAAAAATTTAATCCTATAGATGATGTTAACAAAATTATAAATAAATTATCAAAAAGTAATAAGAGACTTAGATATAATGGTTGCATTGGATGGAAGTGATTTAATTTTTAAAAATGTTTTTAAAAGAAAACTTTCTAAATTTATCTCATATAACAAATATTATCACAAGATTTAGGAAAGTTTACTGTATAGAAATTCTGGTGGTGTTGAAATTTGTTATAAGCTTTTACATAATAATAGTAATTTTATTATTAGATATAGATGTTATGAATATATCTGAAGAGATAAAAAATATTTGTATCAAAAAATTCGTCAATATATAGAAGATCCTTATAAAGATATTTATTAAAAAACCATTGTATTTTAAGGAATATTAAGAAATTTTATTTTTATAATGTAAAAATTTTTGTTTTTAAAGAAATTATTTTATAGTTGTAACAAATACAATATCATAAATATTTGATTGGATAGAAATATTTACTGTGGCGTAGTTATTTTAATTATAAATTTAGCAATAATAAAAGTGTCATGATGTAATGAAGATAATTAAAAAATGGAATATGATTGAAATTAATAATGCTAAGTACTTTTGCATATTTAAAACGAAACCACGTTTATTTTTTTTTAATAAAAATAGTAATTATATATTATTTACAAGTAATATTCAAAAATGCGATGGTCATTCATCCTTAATACATAATCTGAAAATCTCCATTTCTTCAATGGTAAAATTATTTGTATCTAAAATTTCACTTTCATAATAGTTTAGCTTGCACGTACCTGATTTATGATCATCTTCATTAATGTTGATAACCAAATCACTGTTACCAAAATTCAATGGTAAATGTTGATATGTCGATTCATATATTGCTTTATTTTTGTTTGCAACTCGACTTATCTTAAGGTTATCCCAATCGTTTTCACTAAAAGAATAAATAAAACTTTCGCTGGTCTCAGCCCAATAACTTGGTTTCCCTATTTTGTGTTGAATTGAAATACTTTTCCAACCGAGAGGATTATAACCACCAATTATAGATTTTTCTTTAGTTTTAATAACCAAAATACATGCACCAAGTCCATCACATTTATTACGTATAGTATTGATATCATAACCATCTCTACTTCCGCGATAAATATTGTAAAGTTTATATTTACTATCTATTGGAATACTTTCTTTATAACCTTTTTTTTGAATCCAGTTGACTAGGATGGCAGCACGTTTAGGTTTAATGATTAACGAGTTGACAGCAATTTTTCCATTACGAGGAGACAATTTATTTTGCTTAGGCCCAATATTTGACATATGAAGTGACAAAATATCTTCAACGAGTACTTTGGGTAACACCTTTTTAAAAGGCCAAATTTTGTCACGAAAATCTTTTGAGGAAATTTCGAAGAATCTGATGTGAACAATAAATTGATTCAGAGTATTCTTCAAAGCAAAGTAATCCTTTTTATTCCAACTACCTAAATTTGCGATGTTTTTTCCACTCAATTCTGAAGTTTGAGCAATCCCCCATTTAATAAGATAATTCCATAATTCAATTTCATCGATTTGTAAATCATCTCTTTTAACTAATCCAAGTAAAATACTTTCTTCTAAAGTTGGAAAATTTGGAGAATTAAAAAAAGGTTCAGGATCATCACAAATGGTTTCTAAACAATAATCTTGAAGCTTTTTACAACTTTTTAGTTGGAAGACCGTGTGAAGGACTTTAACAAAATTTTGTTGCAACCATACAGTATTTTTTGTAATCAAATAATTTTGTACAAATTTATTCAATTCATCAAGAAGTAATTCATCGGATGCGATAATAAGGTCAAGAATATCAGTTCCATCTTGATTGTTCAAGTTAAGAATACCTGTGTACATGTATCTAAGCCGAAAAAAAAATAACAGTTTACATTTATTAAGAGAAAATATTTAATGCTCTAAAAGGTTTTGTAATCTTATTGGGCTTTGCATGAATAAAATGTAGGGAATGTTATTACCTCATTATCATTTCAAAAACTTTAAGAGAAATATTTGGTTTATTAATGTTAATTATATTATTATTATCCTTTGTAACACAATCCTTTGAAAGAACTCGATCGAAATAAGGAGAACGAATTCTCAAGATATTAGAATGTGCATGAAATTCCTTTGTATTAGGATTTTCTCCAACTTTGATAATAACATTATAATCACATGCATCTTCAAGCAATTTAACAAAATTTTGAATCAATCTAGGAAAAAATTCGAAAGACATTTAAAAATTTTCACTGCACCCATAAGATTATAATTTTAACAAAAGGAGATAATATTATAAAAAATCGTCATAATGACATTTTTCCAAGTTTCATCATACTGTACCAAAAAAATTCCTTAATGACGAAATATGATTTAGCAAATCGCCCAATTGATTACGTGATTTAAGAAAAAACGAATGTTGGGCATATCACATTACGGATCTATGTCTCGTGACTCGATTGAACTTTAAATATGCAACGAAGTACTATAATATTGCTCGCGTGCCGAAGGAACTGTATAATTAATTTATATTATTGGGTTTTCGAAATTATTTGAAATGCAATTATGTGATGATCGATAAAAACACAAAACACAAAAATCACGTGATTAAATGATTAGCCGATCACAAGATCTTGTAAATTAATTTCAAGAATTTTTTGTATCACGCGTTCATTATATTTGTCATAATGCCTAAAAAAAGTACCCTACTCAAGAATGTAACAAATGGGCACTTGTTTTTTGTGGCAAATATGTTTAAATTATAATGAACTATTATCTTTTAAATACAAAGAAAAAAAATATGAAATACAATAAAAAAGAAAAGGTTACTTCAGAGTGTATAATTTAAATACAAAAACACCAGATTTAAAATGAGTTACAAAGGAAATCTACCAAAAACTTTCAAACCATACCAAGCATCAAGGCTAACTAGATCTAATTCTTCAGCTAAAAATTCTATAGAAATAAACAATAATGATGACAATAATGTTGTTGAAAATGATATGATGATGATGAAGTAGATGAATGAAGTAGAAGAAATTAATAAAGTAGAATTTGAGATAAATAATGAAGAGGAGGATAAATTTTGAGTATTGAAATAGAAGATGATATAGAATTGGATGTTGAAGATGAATTAGATAATTCTGAAATTGAAGAATCTGAAGATGAATACATGGAAATTTCATTTAAATTAATAATTAAGAGAGGGGGTAAAAGCAGTGCAGGAAAATTGGAAACTATTTATCAAACAAGGGTTGCATCAATTGTAAGGTTTCATTTCGCGTAACATTTCGTGATGACGTTCGCGTAACGTTCGTGATGATATTCGCGTAACGTTAGTTCGCGCAACATTTCATGTATTTTTATTTTATTTTAGGAACATAGTCTTTGTTAATTCTACTAATAATTTCTCTAACAATCTCATCTAAATAGTAATCAGAATGCTTTTTTATTATTTCACTTAAAATCTAAAAAAAAAAAACTTATGTTTTAACAAATACCATAAACAACATAATATATAATAATTAATAAATTAAAAAATATTATCTTCATATTAGATGGGTTTATAATACATCACTTTGAAAATATTTCATTACTCTTGTAACAGTAGGAGCGCTAATTTTCAATAAATCAAATTTCTTTTTAAAGAAAACCCATCATAATACAAATATACTACATTCCCCCTCAAATGTGCACTTATATTGTTACATTTCATGAGTCAAAGAACAACTTTTACTATGGTAACTCAACTGTGATTCCTATTTTTACGTGTTTTTTTGTGATTTTCTGTGATTCCTTGAAAAAAAGTTGTGATTTCAAAGTTTTAAGTTGAATATATATTGTTTTTTTTAATAAAACTTCTTGTAATTAACATACATTATAAATAAAGTATATATATAAAAAAAATTCGTAGTAGCTTATTTAAAAATTAAAGTTTTTATTATGTAAAGCTGAACGTGATTAACTTAAAAAAAATCGATCGCCGTCACATAATTTCAATAATTTATGATCTCTCACAAGATTTTAAATATAAAAAAAAGACAAAAAGCAGTAAAATTCTGCTAATGTTATCTAAAAATTAAATAATAATAAAAAAATAATCGTAATTATTCGGATTGATAAAATCTAAAAATCTCCATTTCTTCAATAGTAAAATTAATTGAATCTAAAATTCGACTCTCATAATAATCTACTTTACAAAGACCAGTATCATCTTTGATAACCAAATCACTATTTCCAAAATTTAATGATATATTTCGATGATTCGATTCATATATTGCATTACAATAATCTACAACTCGACTTATTTTAAAATTTTTCAAATTTCTTCCATTACCTAATGAAAAAATAAAACTTTCACTAGTATTAGCCCAGTAATAATAATTACTATATTTATAACTACTGGAATTATCATCATAAGTATTATAAGTATTCAGATTACAATCATTCCAACCAAGAGGATTATATCCTCCAATTATAGAATGATCCTCTTTAGTTTTAATAATCAAAACACATGCACCAAGTCCATTACACTCTCTACGTATAGTATTAATATCATGACCATCTCTACTTTTACGATAAACCAAGTCAAAACGATATTTACTACCCTTCGGAATTCTCGCGTTAAATTCTTTCCTTTGAATCCAGTTTGAAATGATGGCCGCATGTTTTGGTTGGATAATTAATGAGCCAATAGCAACATTTCCAAGACGAGGAATCAGATTATTTTGATTATTTGTAGTATTTTCGTTGTAAAATGACACAATATTTTCAATGAGTGTCTCAGGTAACACTTTCTTAAAAGGCCAAACCCTACTATAAAATTCTTTTGAAGAGATTTCACAGAATCGGATATATTCGATAAATTGATTAAGAGCACTTTCTAATTCCATAAAATCATTTTCACTCCAATCACATAAATTCGTCGCATCCTTTTCTCTCAATACCGAAGTTTGAGCCATTCCCCATTTAATAAGAAAATTCCATAATTCAATCTCATCAATTTGCAAATCTGCTCTTTTAACTAATTCAAGCACGATACTTTCTTCTAATTTTAGAAAATCCGGAGAATTAAAAAACGGTTCCGGTTCGCTACAAATGATTTCAAAAAAATAATTCTGGAGCTGTTTACAGTTTTCTAGTTGAAAAACCGTGTGTATGATTCTATAAAAATTTTCTTGTAACCATTCAGTTTGATTTTTAATCAGATATTCTTGTACAGATGTGACCAATTCATCAAGAAGTAATTCATCAGATGCGATAATAAGGTCAAGGATATCAGAACCATTTTGCTCGTTCAAATCTAGTAAACCAGCATATATATATCTAAATAAAAATGTAAAAAATTTGAGAAATTAATAAATGATTGCTTTCATTTTCGTAAATTTAAAAAAAATAAGCAAACGTTTGGTTATGCAAGCATTATGATAATTCCTTAGGATTATATTTATGTTACCTAATAATCATGTCAAAAATTCTAGGAGAAATATTTGGTTTATTAAAGATATTCATATTATTCTTCTTTGTAATCCAATTCTTCGAGAGAGCTCTTTTAAAATAAGGCGATCGAGTTTTCAAGATAATGGAATGTGCATGATATACATTAATATCTTGATCTTCTCCAACCCTGATGATGATATCATAATCATCTGTCTCATCAAGCAATTGAGAAAAGCTTTGAGATAATTTAGTTAAAAATTCGAATGACATATTTTATAAAGAATTTTTTAGCGATAAAGAAAGGATTGAGCTCTTTATATTGTTTAAAAACTTCCGTTACACAGAATTCCGAATTGGGAACGCAATCATGTTATCACATGATCAATAAGTTCAGTAATCTTCCCACCATCAAAAAAAGCTCGGATCATTGACTTATATAATAATTTGTCACACCGCGTCAATAATAACAATAGAAAATTTAAATCTTATTAAGCTCTTTTTTAAAAAATAAATAAAATAAAATAAAACCGAGTAATATGACTTAAGGACTACTTATGATTAAACACCTATTGGCAACTTTGGTAAAACCAGAAAAGTTACAAATCGAAATTAATTTTTGTTAAAAAAGCCCAAAACATTGTTGCCGCGTTATAATCTTTTCATTATTTATTTATTATAATATTCATTATTTTTATTTTTTATTATAAGTAAACGTAATGTGAAAAAAAAAATCCGATAGCCTGTCCTTGTTTTTTAAGAGAGATTTTTTAAATTTGACTTGTTTTCATACGATCGATTCTAATAATTTTTATTTGCCTTAAATCTAACTAAGTATAGGATTGATACATATTCATCTTTCTTTCGATTCGTCGGGATAACAGGAGTGAACTGAACATGGACGCTCCTCAATACTCGACATCAACTTCATAATATATGGCAATTCTGTATCGTAAAAACAAGTTTTGACTTTGTTTAACTTTATAACTCTAAATGGGCTCCTTATTTCATTTGCATTGCTTTAATTACGATCCATTAGTTGTTTTAAACGAAATTTTATCATATTTATTGACATCATCATAAATTTCTATCAGGCAAAAAAAAGAATGAGTAACGTGTTATATAACCTTATATTTTTATTTTATTTTATTTTATCTTTTTTTTAGAAAAACGGAAAATAATCTTATTTTAACTTGCAATTAATCTAAACGAACGTCTAACGTCATTCGAAATATCTTAAATTTTTATCTCTAATTTCTGAAGAATTCGCTTGATTAGTTCATTCTGTTTCAAATATTTTATGATAAGTCGGTTGGAAAAGAAAATGATGATAAAGTCACCATTATCATTAAATGTTGAAATGGAGCGACATTATCATCGAGAAAACTTAGATAGATAACAAAGTTGACTAGAAGGGGTTATTGTTGAGGGAATCCTATATTTACATCATTGAACAAAACAAATATTTCAAGATTCAAACATAATGATATGAACTTCTCTCCGAAAAAAGGAATTATCGAAACGAATTTCTCATCAATAATTTAACTCGATTAATAGAATTTATAGCTGAATTAGCGCAATTTTGGCTTGTTAAGTTTCTAGATGAAGTTTAGACATTTCCGACGTTCTTATACGAATTAAGTTTACTTTTTTTATGCCAAAATATACTAATATAAATATGGTTAAATCGAGAATGAAAAATTAATTTCGGATCGGATTGAATCGTTGTTGCGGTATCAGGTAAGTTTGTTTTATTTTAATTATATTGATTATATTATTACTGCGGTATATCTTTTATTTTATTATTTTTTTGGACGATTTTTTAGGCGATTTCATCAAATGCATTGGTCAAAATGGTTCGCTTTGGCCGCAACGACTGACGATGTCATAAATTTTTCATAGATTTTGTGTCCTTTAGGTTTCTCCATCGAGTTGGTTCGCTTCCCAAAAATTTTAAAAGTTTAAGCAGCGGTGTAAGTTAAAAGCTAATTCAGTTTATTCTATTATATATATATATTTTTTTTTTAAAAAAAAAAAGAATTGTAATAACGTAAAATCATTATGCTGCAAATTATGTATCATATTGTCAACTTATATAAATTCGCAATCAAATATACTTTTTGAATGATACGCAAACCAATAGATAGATATTATTGAATACAAACAATCATATTAAATTACAAAATTTGGAATTTTGGAATTTTGCAGTATTGATTATTGGAATGAAATTGGTAATTCATCATAGAAATTATTTATTTAAAGGTTACGGATATAATTAAGCATTTCTACGGGTTTATGAATGATATGGAAGAGCTCCAATATTAATATCAAAAAGTATCCACTACTCATAGTTAAAAATTAATCGAAAGCAGGCTTTTAAGATCGCGATGAATAACTTGTTTAAAATCCTTCACAATTGGGAATATAAAGAATTCGAAAATTCATTAAATTTTATCTGATATGTATATTGTAAACATAATCTTATTTTATTTATTTGAAGCAAAATTTTCTTTCTTAACGCTTTTTTATGGACTTATTGACAAGACTGGATGACAATTTGCATAAAAGCAGAAACCTTCATGGAGCGAAAATAACATGTTTCACGTGTCAGCTCCAATATTTTTCGGTGACATTTCCGAACATCCATTTTTCATGTTTTTTTTTTATGTTTTATAAAATTTTTAAAATTTATTATTGTTTTCTGCAAAAAATCGAGATAACATTTCAATTTTGATAAAATCTAAAAATCTCCATTTCCTCAATAGTAAAACTATTAGTATCTAAAATTTTACTTTCATATTGAGCTTGATTGCATGTGCCAGCATTTTCATTGATAACTAAATCACTATTGCCAAAATTTAATGGTAAATTTTGATAATTCGATTCATAAATTGCATAATTACTATACATAACTTGACTAATTTTAAAATTATTCAAATCATTTCCATCACCTAAAGAAAAAATAAAGCTTGCACTAGTATTATGCCAATAATCATTTTGATCAAGATAATACCCATTACCATCATAATCATTATACTCATACTCTTCATAATACCCATCATAATCATCATTACGGTAACCTTGATTTTGGTTATAATTCCAACCAAATGGATTATAACCACCAATTATGGTTTTATTTTCTTTAGTTCTAATAATCAGAACACATGCTCCCTGTCCATTACACATACTACGTATCGTATTGATATCATGTCCATCTCTACTTCCACGATAAATAAGGTCATAATTATATTTTTTATCCCTTGGAATTCTCGCATTAGCATCTTTTCTTTGAATCCAGTTAGTAAGGACAACCGCATGTTTTGGTTTAATGATCATTGAATCATTAGGAATTTTTTTATAACGGGGAAATAATTTATATTGCTTGGACTCAGTATTTGACATGTGAAACGACACAATATCTTCAAAGAGTGCTCGAGGTAAAACTTTTTTAAAGGGCCAAATCTTACTATGAAAATCATTTGAAGAAATTTCGAAGAAACGGATATGTGTGATAAATTTGTTTAGAGTATTCTTCAAAGCTAAGAAGTCTTTTTTATTCCAACTACCTAAATTTTCGGTGTTTTTTTCACTCAATTCTGAAGTTTGAGCAATTCCCCAATTAATAAGATAATTCCATAATTCAATTTCATCGATTTGTAAATCTTCTCTTTTAACTAATTCAAGTAAAATACTTTCTTCTAAAGTTGGAAAATTTGAAGAATTAAAAAAAGGTTTAGGATCATCACAGATGGTTTCTAAACAATAATCAATAAGTTGTTTGCAACTTTCCAGCTGAAAAACCGTGTGAAGAACTTTGATGAGATTTTGTTGCAACCATTTGTCTTGATTTTTAATCAAATAGTCTTGAACAAATTTAACCAACTCTTCAATGAGCAATTCATCTGACGCTACAAGAAGATCAAGGATATCGGATCCAACTTTTTCTCGCAAATCAAGAATGCCAGTATACATAAACCTAATTAAAAAAAGACTAATTTTAAAATTTATCAATATAACAAATCATACGTGTAAAAAAATATTACCTAATAATCATTTCAAAAACGTTAGGAGAAATGTTTGGATTTTTAAAGTTATTCATATTATTATTCTTTGTAACCCAATCCTTAGAGAGTGCTCTTTTAAAATAAGGAGAGCGAGCTCTCAAGATATTAGAATGTGCATGAAATTCTTTTGTATTGGGATTCTCTCCAACTTTGATAATAATATTATAGTCATCTGCATCTTCAAGTAATTGAGAAAAATTTTGAGATAAACCGGGAAAAAATTCAGAAACCATTTTATAAAAAACTTGTTGATTCGCGAATCAAATTTATAACGATTAATATTCATTTCAAATTAGATCATTATTACAATTTTTTTACGTCATAGCACTTACCCATAACCATATGAAAAAGTAGAAATAGTAAGATCAACAAACTGAATGGCGTATATATTTCTAAAATACTTGTAACCTGATTTAGGTTAGGAGAGAGCAATAAAATTTTACAGATTTTATTCCTTTACTGTGAAAATTCCTTTAATGGACTTTAAATTTCTTCCCAGATTGTCTCAAAGCTTTTCTCAATTGCTTGATGATACAGACGATTATGATGTCATTATTAAAGTGGGAGAAATTCCAAATATTAAGGAATTTCGAGCACATTCTGTTATCTTGAAGTCTCGATCACCTTATTTCAAAAAAGCTCTCTCGCAGGATTGGATTACAAAGAAGGATAATATGATTAACTTTAATAAACCAAATGTTTCTCCTAGAATTTTCGAAATGATTATTAGGTAATATCTTGAATTTTATTTATCCAAAAGTCTGTAATCTTTGAAATTACATTTCGCAGACATTTACGTACTGTATCATTTAAATTACTGTATTTTATAATTTCAACTAATTTTTGCTTTTTTTTTTTAAAGATATATGTATGCTGGTATATTTGATTTGAAAGAGCAAACTTGTTCAGATATCCTTGACCTTATTATAGCATTCGATGAATTACTTCTTGATGATGAATTGATTACATTTATTCAAAATTATCTGATTAAATATCAAACTAGATGGTTACAACATCATTGTTTTATGGTTCTTCACAAGGTGTTTCGGCTAGAAAACTGTCAACGACTCCAAAATTATTGTTTAAGGACCATTTGTGATAATCCTGAATCTTTTTTTAATTCTCCAGATTTTCCAACATTGGAAAAAGGTATTCTGCTTGAACTAGTTAGAAGGGAAGATTTAAAAATTGGTGAAATTAAATTATGGAATTCTCTTATAAAATGGGGGATGGCTCAAACTTCGGAATTGAGAGAAAATGATGCGACGAATTTAAGTAGTTGGAGTAAAAAGGATTTTATTTATTTGAAAATTGCTTTGAACCAATTTATAACACATATTCGATTCTTCGAAATTTCTTCAAATGATTTTCATAGTGAAATTTGGCCTTTCAGGAAAGTTTTACCTGAAGTACTTTTCGAAGATATTGTTTTTTTTTATATCACGAAGATTAAACCTGATCAAAACAAATTGGCTCCTCGTCATAGAAAAGATGTTGATGATCCATTAGTTATTATTAGTTTAGTTAGTATAAGTATAGTATTTACATATATTATTGTGCTAATTATCGTTGGTTGGGTGGTTGGGAACATGTCATGAATATTATTTTCAGATAATTGTAGTATTTTTTTTTGGATTTTGGCGGATACCTTGTTGATTGAAATAATTTCATTAGGAAAAGATAAATACATTTGATTTAATAATAACCCCAATTCGTATGATGATTTAATTCACATGATTATAAGCATAACGGAAACATTATAAACGGCGGTTAATTTCCAGCATTCTAGTTGGTTGAAGACGTTATGACTAATCACGTGACTTGCTGAAGTAGTCATAACTGACCAAATTCATATATAGAATTTTTTCTATATTAAAGCTTTTAATTATAAAAAATAAATTAATTATATATAAATATATTTCCAAAGCGAAATTATATTTTATGATTTATTTTAAATAAAATTTTTATGAATTTTGAATATTAGACCGGACAAACTTGATTCTTCGGTTCTTGTAATGGTGGTTACATAATATAATTTTAATATAGGCACAATATTATCACGTGATTTATTATCACGTGAACCTATCATTTGCCTTGTAGTTAGTTAATCAAATAATTAAAAAAAAAGAGTCAAATAAATATTATAAAAATATTAATATTTCAATGTAAATTATTTTATTCTTTAATATATAAAGTCACTTAAAAAGATTATTGAATATAAACAAATTTACAATATCATGATAAAATGATTGGTAATCATTTGATTTAGAAGAGATTGGTTATATTTGTTATATTTGACTGATGATTCATATTTATCATATTTGTTATATTTGTTAACTTTATTAACTTTATTAAATTTGTTATATTTGATAGATTTATTTTATTTATTATATTTATTATATTCGATACATTTATCATATTTTATTACTATTAGTTTATTTATATAAGTAGCATATATTTTCTTTGAGTTGAAAAATAACTTGAGATAGGGTTTTGTGAATAAATTAAGAATTTAATAATGATATTTTTATTCATTATTATTACCTTTTACCATGTCTTCATATAAGCATAATTGTGGTAAAGTTATTGTGATTAATTCAAAGAGCTGTAATAAATCATTTAGGTTTTATTTCTAGCCTTTCAGCTAACAAAGTAGTAATTCTTATGAGAATCTCTAGACTTATAATAGATAAATTTAGACTTATATTTTATATTACAAAAAAATCATTTACAAATGTATGCCAAAAACAAATCTTACTTATCAACAAATTATATCTGTTTAATTTACTAGCCAATTTAAAAGAAGTATTATTATATTTTTAGCTAAATTTCATATTTTAGTTTATATAGAAAAATAATTTATTAATTTACAACTTATAAAAGTATTGAAAAATGAAGCTAAACAATAAGTATATAGTTTAATTTTTGTAAACTCTTTTGACATTGGATTTGATTTCAATTTCATAGCAATAAATATTAAAAGAAGTATAATATTCAAAAACTTTAAATATTTATATATTCTATTTCAACAGAATTTGAAACATTAATACCCTTTTCTATAATCAATAAAAATAAATAAAGAATAATTTAAATGATTTAATACACTTGTAAACTAATTTACAACTTCTTTTAATGCAAATACTGACAGAATTAATAGAAATAGATCACATTAATCTCTAAAAAAAACAAATTTATTTGTAATTGATGATTCACTGAAAAAACAGATAAAGTTTCAAGTGATTGGCTTATTCATTTTGAAAAAAACTATTAAAGTAAATAATTGGATTCCAAAATAAGTATTAGAAAGAACTGATAAATTTTCTGATAGTATTATAATAAATTAATATAAGGATATTGATTTTAAAGTTGGAAAGACCCAAAAGAAAATAATGAGAATGATAATCAACCTTAATCAAACTCCTTTATATTTCAATTTTTAAATTATTTTTCCATCATTAAATAACAAATAAATAGCATTATAAACTAAATGAAATCTAGCAAGAAAAGGATGAGAAAGTAGAATTCTATACCAATCAATTTAAAGATTTAAAAAAGGTAATCCTAATGAAAAATTATTTAACTTATATATTATTAGATTATTTTTAAAAGGATTTTGAAAAGATCTTATTAGGTGAGTTATAGTCTAAAAACCTGAAACTATTAATAAAATAATCCAAGAAGCTATTAATTATAAAACTGTATTTTTTTTTTGAAAGACAAGCTGAAAAATATGAAAAACAATTGAAAGTATAATTGTTTGATGAAATTTCAGGGTATTGATAATTATCACAAGTTGAAACCTATTTAAACGTTTTGATTTTTTATTTTTAAATGTTAAAATTGTCAAAAGGTTTAAACAATATCAAAAGATTTAAATAATATTGAAAGGTTTAGACATTGTTGAAAGTATAATTGCCTAACAAGACCTTAGGATTTTGACAATTTTAAAAATTGAAATATATTTAAACCTTTTTTTTAAAAAAAAATGTCAAAACTATCAAAAGGTTTAAATAATATCAAAAGGTTTAAATAATAATTAGTATTAATTTTAATATAAAATCAATAATTATTATTATAATTTAAATATTAAAATAATATTTATTAAGCAATAATTTTTATTCTTTATTTGATAAATGAATAATCATAAACAATGATTAAACTAAAAATTTGTTATAAACAATTTCAAAAAAAATTTAAAACTAATCATCATCATTATATATAAGGTAAACAGCTTGCCATTATTAAGTCATAAGCTAGAGTCTTAACCAATAAATATATAAATTGTATATCACGTGATTATTTTAAATTTTTAATTTAATCAAAAAATAAATCAATATACGTCACAAAAATACTCACAAAAACTCCTAAACTTTAGAGTAAGTTGCTGATCATTATTTTCGTTACACTTCAGGTTTAGCAGTATTAAGCTTAAACTGTTCATCATTAAGTTAACAAAGATAATTTGCTAGCAAGGAGTTTAAGTACGTTTAAACTATGAAAGAAATAAACATGAATAATTAAATTGAAAGGTCAGGTCTCTTTATTGATATAGATTTTAAAAAGAATAAATTATTTAATGAGCAAAGATAAGTTTTAGAGATAAATGTTATTGATTTATTAGAGAATTATAGTGACTCTGCTATTTATTGAGGCAGAAATACAAGATATTTATATAAAATACATCAATATGAAATAGATATTTAAGATAGTAAAGAAATATAAGAAATATAATAAAATAAAGAAATTAAATATATTAAAGAAATGTGTGAAATTAAAGATCGTTAAGCAATTATTAAAATTAGAGAAATCAGAGAAATAGTAAAAAGTTAAGAATAGTGATCATCAAGATTACCATTCATCAATTATATTTAGCGCAGTATTGTATGTTATAACAAGACTATCACTAACAGCTGTATAATTTATTTGAGTTTAGCAGTATAGTTTAGCTATATAGTTTATTTGTTTTATTTATTTGAGTTTAGTATAACATTTAAATAAATAACATGCTATTTTTACTAATTTAGAATTTATACTAATTGACTCAATTATTAAGCGGGAGAAACACAGACATGTGAGTCAAATAGCGCATAAAATTATATAGTTTTTCGCTACGCTCTGGACTAATTAAATTATTTGTATTTCAATCAAAAATACTAATACCTTCATTCATATTATCTAATGCTTTTTCTTTAGAATTTTCTTTTAATGAAGAATTAGAAGAGGAATCATCATCAAAACTATATCCTAAATCTCATTATTAATATTTTCTTCTTTTTCTTCTAATATTTGTCCATTTGATTTATATAAAATTTGTAAAACTTGATTTTTAGTTATATTTGCAAAAAAATAAGGAAGTTCTTTTTTAACATTATAATTAAAAAATCAACAAATTTTTGCAATTGATTTCAAATTTTCAACAGTTAGTTAAAGACGTTTGTTATTTGTTAACCAACTAAGTAAAGAAAAATTTCTTTTCAAGAAGCATTATTTGGAATAATAGCTAAAACCTTTAAAGTTAATTCTTGAAAATAATCTGATTTAAGTTCAATTATTTTCCACCATTTAAGTGAAATATCATATTCAGATTCATATGAATTATCATATAGATATTGAAAGGTTTTATATAAATGAAATTGTGAAGGTATAGCAGCTCTAGCTCAGTGGTTAAACCGCGAGTCTCCTATAAGCTAAAGTTTTATTACACAGCGATAGGTTATCAGTTCAGGTATTAGTCGATATATAAAACTGTATGATTTTCCATAAGGAATTTCTTTGTAACTGAAATGATGGGCGTATAAACTAATATGCGTACAAATTTGGTTAATTGATCCATCGATTAACATTGATTATGCCTAAATACTGCACGAATTAGAACATGCAGATGCAAACAAAGCCTAGGATCGACAGAAACTTGGCCTTCGCTAATTGGCCTGTAATAGGTACAGTCTTACGTCTATCACAGCAGGGGCCCTTATTTCCATACGTGATCGCTATCGAAGTGATTACATGTATAAAATAAGGAAGTGATTAACCAAACATTAGTAGATTGGATAATAAACCAGTAATAATTAAACTGTATTGCACACCACAGTACTGGCTCAAATCGAGCTATTACTAGGTTAGAGATCAGGTTCGATTCCTGAGTTGTTTGACGTTCTGGGTATCAAAGTCACCTGGTTGAAAGTGGTCTATACAGATATGGTAGCTTCCATGGCAAAAGCCGCGTAAGGTCACTTCATATCAAAGTCAACCTAAGTAATTGGATCTTGATTATAGTTCACCCAAATCGTTGGTAAGGTAGTGATGACGTTCATTATGGCTGCGATGTACCCTCTATCCAAATTTAACTGTATCAGGGTTGCTGAGGTATCTTTCTCTACATAATGGGAATGTCGGGATTTAGGATGTCATATCTTAGATGGCATAACCTAGGGGATGTATTCAGTGGCAGGGGCCTCTGAAATATAAGGTCAACGCTTAAGGGTGTTTCAACGTTATGACCCTACGGGGATACCTAACTACTCATCTTGAATGTCTGGAGCACAATCGACCACTCAATCTGAAACCAACTTAAAAAAAAATAAAAAAAAAATATAAATGAAATTGTAAAGTTAAAATATAACCATTTGTAAGATCATTACCTATTTTTTGTTATATATCATCAGCAATTTTAACAATGCATTTAAATTAACTATTTTGTAATCCTAAACCTAATATAATAAAAATAAATAAAAAACTTTAACAAATAATAATAATTAATATATATTACTTACCTTTGAAATTTAGCATTAAAAAATGATAAAGTAAATACAAATCATCATCAAATTTATCAAATTAAGTATTTAAAGTTTCAATACAATATGAACAAAATTGAACATATCAATGAGATGATAATTTTTTTAATTGCTACTGCAATTTTAGCTAAACTTACAAAACAATCTCCAATATTGTATTATATTCTTCTAATGTTAATACTACTTTTTTTAATAAAAAAAACAAAATAAAGAACTTTTAAATGAATAAAAAATTCATAATGGCTAATAATATGAAACATGTTTATTAGTTACTAAATTTTGATGATTCTGAATCATCTAATAAATAAAGTTAGTAAATTAGTTAATAATTAATTAATTATAATTAAAATAATAAAAAAAATTCAAATATAATACCTTTTTTTTTTAAAACTAACTCTAAATGTAATATACTTTCAATACATTCACAAGCAGTTGTCTATCAAGTTTTATAATATGATTTGAGATCACCACTTAAAATGTTTTTTTCCTGAATTAAATTTCTTACTTTTATACCTAAAATAATATAAAGAATAACTTTAATAATTAATTAAAAATAAAACAATAATATTAATACTAACCAGCTTGATGAGAAGTTTAAAAAATTACATAATATATTACAATGATGAATTAAATGATCAGCAAACTTAAATTTCATTACATCTTGTACTACTAAATTAATTGCATAAGCAATATATCAAATACTAAAAATACGTGAATATAATAAACTAATTATATTACATATAAGTTTAATATTAGCACCATTATCACTAACAATTGCTGAAAATTAATTGGGTCTAACTGCTTTTAAAATACTTGATATTTGATCTGCAATAAATTCACCTGTATGCGATTCATTAGAAAAATCACATAATTGATATAAATATTCTTTGCGTTCAGATGTTATACAGTCCTCACCAAAAATAATAGCAGTCAATTTATTTAACTTAACATATGCAATTTATTAATAAACCCAATAAAATAATTTTTAAATAAAATATAAATATTATAGCTGCAACTTTTATTAAATAATTAGTATTTAGTATGCGCTTCTTCTGCATCAATGCATGCAATAATTCAATTTGGCATGCTATTGATGCAGTTAACTATTACATCATCATCAAAATCATCCCATTCTTCTTGAATTACATTAAAAATGTTTCAATAGATATTTTTTTTTTGCGCTACCATTTTCTTAATCTTTATCTTAATTTTTCTTTTTAAAATAGCCCAAACATTTTCAATTGGATTAAGATCTGAACTATAAGATGGCCATGGAAGAACTCGACCTGGAAGGTGAGTTTCTAAATCCCTTTAAACATCATGGAATTTGTGTTTCAGGTCATTATCTTGCTGAAAAATCCAGCGATAATCTAATAATTCATTTGCATTATTATAGAGCTAATCGTTAAGTATTCAGCGGTACAAATGACGATTAAGATTTTCAGTAAACATATGCATGCCAATTTTTCCTTTAACATTGATTGCAGCCCAAACATGCACTTTATAAGGATGCTTAACCATGGGTTGAACTGGTTTTCTATCTCAGGACCATGCAAGAGTTGTATTACGAAACATTTAGATTGTTGTTTCATCAGAAAAATCCACCTTTTTCCAATCGTATCACAGATAGTCACGTGCTTAAGACAAATGAATGTCTTTCGCTTTTTGGATCAAAAGAGGAACTTTTCGTGAAAGAACTGCTATATAACCAAGCCTAAAAAATTCTCAATGAATTGTTGTTTTACCAATTTCTAATTTTGAATCATTTTCTTCTAATATAGCCTTTAATTTCCCTGCTGTAGTGAAATGATCATGCTTAATGATCATTCTGACATGACGACATTTTGCGGGGATTAATTTTCGTGGGTGGCCAGATCAATGAATTTCTGGAATATTACCATTTTTTCATAAAATAGCAACATATCGTTCACAAGAATGTAAAAAAACTCCAGTTCTGCTGGAAATTTTTCTTGCATTATAGATATTTTTATCCCAAAGATATTTTATGACTTCGCGATTTGCTTTGATAGATATCGACAGCATTTTATATAGTGGTAATTTAAGTTAAGTAAAAATAAACAAATAACATTAAGATCAGGTTTTTTTGTTTATTTTATTTAAATTAACATTGTATTGCCTAAAACAGCCTAATTAATAATGGGTCAAATAGGAACACCAGAAACATGATAACCAAATAATAATTTAATATCCCTACCACTATTACTTTCGGTGGGGACTGTAATAATATGATTCTAATAAGAATGATTTTTTCCACTACTCCAACCATCTAAAACTAAAATATTAAATAATTATTATTAAAATTAATTATAAAATTAAATATATTCAATATTTAAATCTAAAATTACAAAATTACATGCCAAGTATTAAATTTTTTTTTGATTAAGAATATAATTTACTTTATTATTTATTTTTACTAATTGTTGTTCAAATATATGACCAGAACAAAGTCCCAAATTGGTAGTTTATATGAAAAATTCATTACTTTTAAAGTTTCAATGAAAAAAAATTTCAATAGCATATCAAGGAATTCCACAAATTATAAATGCTTTAGACCATACTTGATTAAGTTTTTCACTTTTTTCTGTTTTTAATGAATTGCCTG